TTATCTTTTTTTTTTTTTTTTACTTTTTGGAAAAAAAATGGCAGGGGCAAAAATGTCCAAAGGAGGCGGTAAATAGTAACGCCCTTGTTTTAGTGCAAGAGTTATGAGAAACAACCACTTGGATGAAAAACAAAAGTTATCGTGGATGAATTTCAAGCCATGCCCGTTTTAGCGCAAGAGTTACGAAAAAACTACTTAGGTGAAAGAGACGAATTATCTCATATTTTACTCAATTACTTTATATTTTGTCACATTAAATATCTCTGCGCACGAAATATTCAGAAATTCCCTCGAGTCACACAATCGTACACGTAAATTATTAGACGCCATTTTGTTCACGTAAATAAAACTCATTTCTGTTGGTGAGGTCTGACGGCGAGGCGGTCTCTGGTGTTGGGGCTTTAGGTTCGACGGCGAGACGGTTGATTTCTGTTGGTGATTGGCTTCCTTCGTCCGGTTTGGTGTTGGGGGTGTTTTGGGGTGGTTCTTCCAGGAGGGTGTTCTGTGTGGTGTTTCGGCTGGTTGCCCGCCGACTGTCCGAGGTGGTCGGCGAGGCGTTGTTGTGCCACGTGGCTCGTTTCTTCGAGATTCACTGCTCAAAGGTGTAGTTCTCGCTGGCATAGCGATGCCAAATTTCCTGATTAGATCTCGCCGTTCTTTGATTGCTTGGATGGCGATGAGGGCGACCAGTTACGCCGGTGTTTTTCGCAGCGTTGGGCAAACCTCTGGTGTTCTTTAGGGTGGGCCGCAGCCTCGTTCCTCCTTTTGGGGATCCGGGTGGAGAGTTCCGCCACCTACAGTCGTGTCCCTCCTGTCTCTGGCGTTGGACGGAGGTGTTCGGCTGGCTAACTTGGGCCGTGGGCTGAGTTCTTGAGTCTGGGCCCGGTTGTCCAGTTGGTTTGGGTGGTTTGTGGCGTGGGTCTTCGGGTGCAGGTTTTGGGTATCTGTCGGGGTGTAGGTTGGGTCCTTTGTGAAAAGAAATAATATCCATAATTAAGAAATGAAAAGCAATAGAATATGAAAGAGTAAACTAAGCCATCATTATATTTTTCATTATTAGCTGGAGAAGGCAGAAGTACAATATTTATACAAGCTCGGAGAACCTTAAAGCCTACAGTTACATAAGGTGAGGGACATGGCACTAAGTCAGTTATTGCACTAAGAGAAAATTCAGGAAACTGAATATAACTGCCTAAGAATACAACTGCCAATAGAAAGAAAACATACACACGTCCAACACTTAATTCTAACAGCCCCTCTCAATCCAAACCAGGTTGAGGTATGACAGTATCATTCTGGTGAAGGATTGACCAGATAAAGCTTTAGTGAGCACATCAGCAGTTTGATCAATAGAGGGAACATGTTGAACTCTCAACTCATTTGCTGCCACTTTTTCTCTTATAAAATGAATGTCAAGTTCTATGTGCTTGGACTTTGAATGCATCACTGGATTTGCTGCAAGAAGTTCAGCTCCTACATTGTCAATCCAGATTATAGGAGTTCTTTGAATCGATATCTTTAACTCTTTCAAAAGAGCCTTGATCCACAACATTTCAGAAGCACATTGAGCAAGACTTCTATACTCGGCTTCAGTGCTAGATCTTGACACTGTAGTTTGCTTCTTTGAACACCAGGAAATTAGATTAGCACCAAGAAAAATACAAAATCCTGAAACTGATCTTCTATCATCAATATCGGTTGCCCAATCAGAGTCTGAAAAACCTGTTAGATTAAGAGAGCTGCCTTTGTTGATCTGAATTCCAAAGTTTTGAGTGGATGCAAGATATCTGAGAACTCTTTTAACACATTTCCAATGAGTATCCAAAGGTTGCTGCATATATTGACTTAATTTATTCACACTAAAGGCAATATCAGGCCTGGTCAAGGTAGCATATTGTAAGCCTCCAATGATGCTTCTATAAAGCTTCACATCCACTTCAGGTTTTCCAATGTACTTGGACAGTTGAGGAGAGGAGACCATTGGTGTTGGACATCCTTTGGTTTGACTGATATTAGCCCTTCTTAGCAGCTCCTTTATATAAGACTTCTGACATAAATGAACACCTTGAGTATTGTGAGTGATCTCAATACCAAGAAACTGATGCACTTTTCCAAGATCTTTCAAAGAAAACTCTCTGTCAAGATTGTTAATGAGTTGAGAAATCTCACTTGAATTACTACCTGTGACAAGAATGTCATCCACATAGACTAGTAGAATGATGCAAGAGCCATTACCAAATTTGAAGTACAGAGAGTTATCAGCCATTGAGCAAGAAAAACCAAAAGTCTTAAGAATTGATTTCAGCTTTGCAGTCCATGCTCTAGGTGCCTGTTTTAACCCATATAAGGCCTTAGAAAGCTTACAAACCATTGAGGAAGATCCTTCTTGAAAGCCAGGAGGCTGACTCATGAAGATTTCTTGATCAAGATCTCCATTTAGAAAGGCATTATTGATGTCGAGTTGCCTTATATCCCAATCAAAACTGACAGCAAGAGAAAGAACAGTTCTAATTGTAACTGATCTTACAACTGGACTAAAAGTGTCAAAATAGTCAAGTCCAGGTGTTTGAGTAAATCCTCTAGCCACCAACCTTGCTTTATATCTTGCTATGCTTCCATCAGAGTGCTTCTTAAGTCTGAAAACCCATTTACAGTCAACAATATTCTTATCAACTGGAGCATTTGTCAACTTCCAGGTGTTGTTCTTCTTGAGAGCTCTCAACTCTTCTTCCATTGCTCTCTTCCAATTAGGATTATTAAGAGCTTCATCAACATTCTGAGGTTCTTTTTCATCATAAGCAGAAACATACACCTTGGGTTTAGATATCCCAGCTTTAGCTCTAGTGATCATAGGATGAGCATTATTGTGAGATGGCTCAGATTGAATACTCTTCTCAACAGGTAATTCCACTATAAGAGGAATGGAATCATGGGTTCTTTGAGTATGAAGATTTGAAGATGAAGAGTTAGAAGGAATAGATGAAGGACTAGTGCTTGAATGATGACCGGTTCTATTTGACTGAGGTGAATAATTGTTCTGAGCAGTTTGAAGAGGAGGTATTATAAAGTGTTTCTTAACAATAGGAAATTGAAGTAAGGGTATTTGGGTTGCTACAAGATCATTTTGAGTGTTATCACAAGTTTCCTTTTTATGCTTTTCTATATAGGGAAATCTGTTTTCATAGAAAGTAACATGTCTGGTGATAATGGTTTTTCCAGAAGGCAACAAGATTTTGTAACCTTTGTAACCAGGACAATAACCAAGAAAAGTTGAAGGAGCAGACCTATATTGAAGTTTGTGAGTGTTCATTGGTCTGAGATAAGGAAAGCATAAACACCCAAAAGTTTTGAGAAGTTTGTAGTTGGGTTTTTGCTGATACAACATTTCATAAGGAGACTTGAATTGAAGAGTTTTTGTAGGAAGTCTATTAATAAGATAAACAGAAGTTCTGAAAGCATCTAACCAGAAAGATTGAGGTATACCAGATTGAGCCAACAATGCCAAGCCAACTTCAACCACATGCCTATTCTTCCTTTCAGCTGTGCCATTTTGTTGAGGTGTATAGGGACAAGAGACCCTATGAACTATCCCATTATCTTTAAGAAATGTGTTTAAACTTCTGTATTCCCCTCCCCAGTCAGATTGAATGACTTTGATTTTCTTGTTGAACTGAGTTTCTATCATGATTTTGAACTGAAGAAATACACTGTGAACTTCAGATTTATTTTTCAGAAAATAAAGCCAAGTGAATTTGGTGAATTGATCAATGAAGCTTACATAGTAGCTATGATCTGTTTTAGTTTTTACTGGAGAAGGGCCCCATAAATCTGAATGAACAAGTTCAAATGGTTCATGATAGGAAGTAGAGGAATCATCAAAGGGCAATCTATGAGACTTTGCTAAATGGCAAGCATCACAAATGGAAAGAGCACTTTTATTAATATCAATGGCAGGATTACAATCAGAGACAACTTTAGCAACAATGTCAAAACTAGGATGACCTAATCTTTGATGCCAAATGTCTAAGTCCTCTTGCCTTTTGGAATTGGAACTGCTGGTAGAAAGAAAAGTAACAGGTGAATGACTGAAGTTTGATTCTGGAAGTTGTGGTGAAGTTGGCAAGGTCCTTGTCAAATCAAACTGATATAGCCCCTCTTTAAATGTCCCCCGGAGAAGTGTTTGTCCTGTAGACTGATCCTTAACAGAACAAAAATCAGGATAGAATTCAAAGAAGCAGTTATTATCTCTTGAAAACTGAGATACACTAATTAAGTTCTTGGTAATTTTAGGAACACAAAGCAGGTTTTTAAGAAAAAGAGACTGGTTAAAGTAGGGACTCTTAATATTAGAATGACCTATATGAGAAATTTTCAGACTTGAGCCATCACCAATGTGAAGCTTATTATTTCCTTGATACTCCGAAGCTAAGTTGAGATTAGCAAGTTCATGAGTGACATGATTTGAGGCACCAGAATCAGGATACCAAGAGTTTTCAGATGGAGCAGTATCATGAGTTGTGACTAAAGCATTCATATTTTGGTTGTTGAAAGATCTGTTGCCACCAACTTGATTGTTCTTTAATTGAGAAGATGTAGGATTGTGTTGAGGTGGACCATAAGAAGGATCAAACCTGTAGTAACATCTGTCTGCAGTATGATTATTTCCATGACATACTTGACAAACCATTCTAACTCTACCTCTTCCTCCTCTATAGCCACCTCTAAAACCTCTTCCTCTTTGATTAAAGCCTCTGCCTCTTCCATGCTGGCCAAAAGAGTTGTACTCCTTTTTGTTTTGAGTTTGAGTGACAACATTTGCAATTGGATTAACTTCTTCTTCAGCAGATTTTGTATTATCAATTCTGCTCTCAACACTCAACAAAAGAGCATGAACATCCTGAAGAGAGAAGTCTTCAATTCTGGAATTTATACTTACCACAGCAGCATCATAATCACTTCCAAGGCCAGTTAAGACATGCATAATATGATCATCTTCAGGTATAATCTTACCAGCTGAGGCTAAAGCATCACAAAGACTCTTCACTTTACTCAAATATTCTCTCATAGATAAAGATCCTTTCTTTAGGGTTTGAAGCTGAGATTTGTACTGCATGATTCTAGCTCTAGACTGACCAGAAAAATTTGTTTGAAGAGCAGTCCACATTTCAGAGGTAGTATTCAAACCAATCATCAAGGACATAATACTTTCAGACAAAGAGGAGAGAAGCCAAGAGACCAGAAGTTGATCTTGCCTTTCATAGGTTATGAATTCTGGATTTGGAATTGAGATACCTTCTTGAAGCACACACTGAGAAGGTGCTGGTTGCTCACCAAGAAGAAACTTTTCCAAGCCATATCCTTTAACTGCAGCCAAAACTTGTTGCCTCCAAATCAGGAAGTTTGTTTCTGTTAACTTCACTGTAAGAACTTGATTTTGGGGCTGGATAAGAACTGGCTGTGTTGGTGAGATAAGTGAGGGGTTCTCATTGCCAGATGTTGATGAAGTTTCCATTTTGGGTTTAAAGCAAGATCAGCAAAAAATAAAAATAAATAAATAAAATAAAATAAAATGGAGGAAGATATCAGAGACAAGTCACCAGGGACTAGCTCTGATACCATGAAAAGAAATAAGATCCATAATTAAGAAATGAAAAGCAATAGAATATGAAAGAGTAAACTAAGCCATCATTATATTTTTCATTATTGGCTGGAGAAGGCAGAAGTACTATATTTATACAAGCTCGGAGAACCTTAAAGCCTACAGTTACATAAGGTGAGGGACATGGCACTAAGTCAGTTATTGCACTAAGAGAAAATTCAGGAAACTGAATATAACTGCCTAAGAATACAACTGCCAATAGAAAGAAAACATACACACGTCCAACACTTAATTCTAACACTTTGGCTTTCGACCCAATTAGGCGTTTGAGTTGGGCAGCTTCTGGTCCGGATTCTAGGGTCTTAGCTTTGTCCGTTTTGGATGGGTATCTGTTGACGCTTTTGCTGGTTGGCTTGGTTTGGCTGTTGGCTGCGGAGGAATGGTTAGGTGTAGTTTTTTTTTTTTGTTTT